ATCTGGGTTGCTGGGTTAAATCCGCAAACATGGGGGATCATGAGTAGAAATGAGTATTATTAAGATTTAGGTCAAAAGCTGAAATAAATATTTCCGAAAATATCGAACCTCTATGTCAATTAGAATTATCAAGGTTTATTTTCCCTCTTAATTCCTTTGGCCCTCTGGGCAATAAGATTCTACGCACTGACAATAATTCAACCCGGAGCAAAGGACCTACTAACATTTTTGGTAGGCAATGAGGCAGAAAATAAAATGTTGATATAATGAAATAATAACAAAATATTCATCGCCTCTGATGTCAATAGTAGATATTATTTTAATACTAAATTAATAATTAATGAAAGTGTTCGAATCTGCTATATCAAATTTGTACATGTGTATGAAAGTTTGATTGACAAATTTCGTCTTCTATCTATAACATTGAACTCTTTTTATCAACATGTCACTGCACACTATGAAATTAGAAATAGTAACTGTTACACCATGCTGCTTATATCGTACCAAAATATTCAGTTTCAGTTGGAGTTCAATACGTACCAGCAATAGATAACGGATAAGCTGAATCTGTTCAAAATATGAGCTTCAAGGAATTACTAAACAGGTGGGTTTGTTTCGTCAAACATCTCGTCATCCAGTAGTAGATAAGAGTTACCTAATTTGCAAATACTCCAAAACACAAAAATGCTCTGAGCCTGATTCCAAAATCAGTGTTTTCGTATCCAAATTGATAAACAAAATTCCTATTGCTTAATTGTTTCACAAAAGTCTTGCTTTTATGGATAAGTTACAAATAAAATAATTTCGACATAAGCAGCTTTGATAAACTAAGCTAGCTTCGTACAGATAATGTATTTTCACAATGGTCTATAGGAATATTTTGAGACAATGCTTTTCTGGTCGATAATCTAAGATATCTTACGGTGAAGGACTAGTACCACCAGAAACGTCGGAAAGGTCAACTTATTAACATAAGTGATTGTCGGTCTATGTCAAAGCGCATGTAAATTTACAAACCTGTGTAAGCATAATCTTTTGATCTAGTCTTAATTCAAACACCAACTTTTCTTATAATATTCCTTGAGATCTATTAACAAGGCTTAAAGATAAAACTAAATCTAATAACTTCATTATGCAAGAGCGCTTTTGGTATTCTAATTTGCAAGATTGTTTTTAGAACTTTTACCTTTTGCTTGCCCCCGAAAGTTATTTATGTTTGAATAGGTCACTTGCGAAAGATAAGCTAACAATCTATCTTACTATAGTTTATCTATTTCACTTTCTAGCTTCTTGAAGCGTAGATCAAAATTATACCAACATGACTGCTTATTATTTATAATCTTTCTCATCATTACTCTCAATTCAGATGCCAAATTTAATTAAACCTACTTTCTTAACAAGGTTTCAAGATTAAACTATTTTTGGTATTCTGATCAGCAAGGTTGTACTTAGAACTTTGGTATCTTTTTTACCTTTTTCTTGCCCCCAAATTTTATTTACGTTTGAATAGGCCAGGCGAATTACTACCTTATGGTCTATGCTGCCTATCTAATCCGTCGTTAGGACTAGTGATAAATAGGTTGAACTATTTAGATATGCAAGCTTTTTATGCGTTGTTTCTTTAAGGGAACAACGACCACCTCAGTTTAAATCAGATATTAAGAAAAGTCCTTAAGCTTTGTCTTGAAGTCGTGCGGGTACAACCATCTTAGTATTTTTTTATTAACTCGAGAAACCATCATTACTACCGCAACGCTCCATCGAAAAGTAGCTTCTCTCACTAATGTAAATAATAAACGTCATTCAATTATTTCAGTTTGACAATTATTAAACTATGGATTCTGAAATATTTAAAAACAAGTTTCTTAGCCGTGTTGATGTGTATAACTTGATATTTAGCTGTTGTTCTTCAATACATCCAACGAATTCAGTCTAGGTAGAAAGAGCTACATTGTCAGTAGTCAGGATGCAAGTGCATACTACAAGCCGCCAGTTTGATAGTTGTTGGCATTTTGGATAAAAAATTCCTGCGAAAAGGTATTGCATACAGGCTTCCTTACATATCTTTAGCCCTTTCCACGCGGCTCACAGTAAAACGACAGGAATTTCTTCCATATCTAAGCACTGCCATAGATCTTGTATCCTGGAGAGAGGATAGTTGCTATGCTTTCGTTTGTTGTTCCAGAGACTAAGCCTATGAGTTGGCTAAAAAGCACGAATCAGCTATCCACTGTCGGATGTCTTCGATCAATCGGACAAAAGCTGCATGCTTAAGTTAAACCGTCGGAGACACAAACAATAATGAGTCACAAAAGTTGCGTAAACCTCTTACGCTTTCTGGCCTCCAAAGATACCGAATTGCAACGTTGCGTTACCGCCTAAGATGATCCAGAACTCATATGGGTAGTGTGGAAATATACGGACTATAGAAGAGAAGCATCACTCCGACGTTAAAACAGTTTCTGGCGAGGTGTCTGAAATTATATCTGCGGTATCCAAAATCCTGCATGCAGCTTGACTGTGGTGTCGGCGATAAAGCAGGCAGCGAGGAAGGTAAAAATCCACGTAATCAACGATCCTGCAGGTATTGACCGCAGAACACTATAAGAAGTGTTTCACGTCTCGCAGAACAACCACAGAAAGTGGGGTGCCGGTATTTCGACGCTTTGCTAATGATGTGAAGGGGAGTATTGTTATTGCAACATATATGCTAAAGTTCTAACATCGCATAACTCAAAATTATAAGGTATACATACACTTGAAAAAATGCTGTTGTGATTGCCGAAACGTCATCAGTAAACAGTATGTCGTATGAGGTTTTATTTAGCGTCCAAATAATCGTAGAGGACTATAAGCAGACATTCTACAACAGAAATAGCCCGCCACCACTGGAGACACTCCAATGAAGCCTCGTGCCCGCATAAAATGCGGCTCTTTTTCATCCATCATGCTTTTAAGGCCATCTTAGGCACTAATGCAACGATGCAATTCGGTTCTTCTGGAGGCCAGAAAATGTCAGAGGCTTACGCAACTTTTTATGACCCATTCGTTAACATGCATAACGGGGAAATTAAATAGGCCAAGTCCATCAAACAGGTCCATACATTTACTCCATACCCCTGCCCAGCCGAAGTACCGTCCACCGGCATACCGCCCGTCATGTGAGGACACTTACGAAGAATGGTACTCCGGCCGGCACAGCCACACAGCAGATGCAGGCACGCGTGCCGAAATCATTCATCTACGTTTAAGTAAAAGACGAATGGCCGATTGGCCAATAACGCTGACATGTCGGCATTTGGAATATTCGTTGCGCCCGACTACCGGTGTTGGCAAAAACGACCTTTTGACATCGCTTTCATGCACTCATTTGAAACATTAATACATATCACTTATACAGGACTTGACAAAAAAGCCGTCTCACTCGCAACATGATATATTTAACTGCGTGACATGCAACATTGTATAAGAGTGCTTTGCCTTTTAAGTAACCCAAGTTATCTTGAAGTTTGATAAGACTCAGCATGTTTTTATACAGATAAGAAACAATGCAGCAGATAAATCAACTACTGTATGTGTTCAGACGTCTTTTATCGGTTAACAAATCTGTAGTTATCCTAATGGGCACGTTTTACAATTATGTTATCGTTAACTATTTTTATATAAATTGGTAATACATGATAAATGTGAATAATAGAAGATTGTGTGAAAATCTTAATCATTAATCATAAATTATGTTGTATGAAAAAGTAAAAAAGTTGGGCATTTACTTGGACTTGAACTTACGTTTTAACTTCCATTTGAATAACGTCTTGAAAAATTATTAATATCCCTCAGACTTCCGTTTGCAAACAAACAGATTCTGCATAAAAAAAATAAAATTAAATTGTGCCTACATAAGTCTAGTTATTTCTAAAATGTTATATCGTTTATCCATTACCCTTGTCTGACATCTATTAACACAAAAGGTTTGTAGATAATGCAGAATATCTGTGTTTATCGAATACCTAGGAAAGTTTTATGATGTATCACATTTGTATAGCAATATTGTTCAAAGCCTTTTCAAATACTTCATCTTATGCTTTACTATCAGGATGGTGCTAACATCGTCCCCTCAATACCTCAGTTGTAAACTTTTTCAGGTTCATAACAGTTACACCTTAACTATTCCGATACATCGCACAACACTCTTCAGAAGATATTTTAGTTACAATGCAATTTTATCTTATAACAGCTTAGGACAGGATCTTAAGACTATTCAGTCCTTCCGGAGTTTTAAAGTACAGTTGGAAAGAAATTTATATTAACAACCGCTAGCTCAAGAAGTTCTTTCGTCTTCATACTTTACATTTTTGACCATGGCTATTTTTCTTCATAACGTGTTATCTCTTTTTCTTTTAATGGATGAATTGGCATTGCTTATTGTCTTGTATTGGGGCTTAATCCATCTATTTTCACATGTTTTTGTTTTGTTTTCCTATAACTCCTTTTTTGCAAGTTACTTTTATACGGGTTGAATGGTTATCATATTTTGATCAATAAAAAACTATTATTATTCTTATTATTACTATTTAGTATTCAGGAACCTGTTTCAATAAACATATACTATACAGAGAGAGACCCATTGAGATAAGTAACCACTCATGAAATGCAGTATAATCTTAACTTAACTCAAACTCTCAAAATATAATGGAAGCCTTCAGATAGTTTTTTATAGATAATGTAAATAGCCTCGCCCATAACTATAATTTCAGCAAACATTTCAGTCTTCTTTTTTGGTTTCTCTTCTAGAGACTCGTTGCTAATAGAATGACAAAGGCTTAACCAAGCTACAAGATTCTACTTAGGTGATTCTCCATGCTTTTAAGTTTTGCATATAGAAACATAGTAGGCCGCGCGGATCGAACGTCAGTTAGTAAACTGAAATTCAATGTTTCACAATCATACGTGCAGTGTACTCACTACAGTGAATTTCTAAGTATCACCCAGTCATTAGAAAAATGGAACTCAATCGAGAACATTTTCGCACCATAATTTATTACAACTTTCAGAGACAATTATCGCAACAAGAATGCCTTGCTGAGTTACTATCTGTTTTCGGCAACGGAGCGCCACATTAGTCGACAATTTCCCGTTGGTATGGAGAATTCAAAGGTGGACGGGTGAGTCTTAGCGATGATCCCAGGGTGGGTGCACCAAAAACGGCAGTCACCCAGGAGAACGTCGATCCTGTGCGCAAACTCATCATTGAAGATAGACATGTGACATATCGCGAGATTGAGGCGTCCTTGAAGATCTCAAAGACCTCAATTCAAAAAATTTCACATGAAGAATTAGGAGTAAGAAAACTAGTTTCTTGTTGCATACCCCACCGGTTGACTTAAGAGCAGAAAGCAGCCAGGGTTAGTTGGTGTCAAAAAACGCTTGACCGTTTCAATTCCGGAAACTCAAAAAATGTGTACAGCATTGTTAGTGGTGATGAATCGTGGTTTTACTGTTATGAACCAGAAAATAAACGACAGTCGGCTGTTTGGTTGTTCCAAGGTGAAGAAAAGCCAACAAAATTCATCCGTTCTTGAAGTGTTTCGGAAAAGATGGTCGCGACATTTGTGTCAAAGCGGGTCATATTGCAACAATTCCTCTAATGAGCAAAGAACTGTTACTGCGGATTGATATACCGCCATTTGTTTGCCAAAAGTCATCACCGAGCTTCGAAAAATCAACCGCGAAAGAAGAATCATCCTCCACCAAAACAATGCAAGCACGCACACAGCCCAAAAAACAAGGCAGTCTTTAAGGGAAGAAAACGTGGAATTATTGGACCGTCCTCCATATAGTCCCGATTTAAGTCCTAAGGATTTGTTTACTTTCCGGAAAATTAAAAACAGACTGCGTGGTCAAAGGTTCCAGTCACCAGAAGAAGCAGTTGACGCATTCAAAAATGCGGTTTTGGATCTGCCAGCAAACGAGTGCTTCGAAAATTGGTTCGAGCGCATGCAGATGTGTATTAATCTTCGAAAAACAATAAAGTTGTTTAATACTACCTACCGTGTTGTTTTATTTCCATATGCAAAACTTAAAAGACATCCCTCGTAACATTGCCATTAAATTGAATGGAGAATGTTGTATTATTTTGCTTCACACGTTGTAATAGAGGACACTTCTGCAACCGAGACTAAAAAGCTAGCAAAAAGTTGGTGACTTGTATGTTGACTCTGCACTTCCCATGAAACGCCGTCATCAGTTGGTAAAGGATTAAGTTCGGCACAAGTTAACTCATATGCAAAAAAGTTAGTCACGAGCATCTACAGCAGAGGAATTTAACGTATCAAGTCAGTCGAATTGGCCCATACCGGTAGTACCATTCATCTGCCAACGCCGCCATTTTCCGAATTGATCACACGACGCGTCAGATGTGCCAACGCCCATCCGGGCACCGTTGTAGTAAGGGCAGAACAGTCAACCAGACCGGCACTCCTGCCGGTAAGTACAGAGTGCAGAAGCAGCTCGCGTATCGGAAACAGTTCTCGTCCCAAGTACGGTAAAATTTATGATGTGTGAAATATACCCTTTCAACATGCTCAATATTTTTTCTGAAAATGATCAGGATCATTTAAAACGTCAAAAAATGAAGGTTGAGCGATTTTTGTTTTTTTGTATTTTGACCCCTGGCTCCGCAATTTTCAAATCCTGGAAAGTTTTTTCGTCCTTTTCATAGTAATACCCGTGTATAGAAATTTCATCAAAATCCTAGCGGTAATTTCCAAGTTATAGAGGCGTCAAGGATTAGTGGAAAGACAGACAGACTGACAGAAAGGGCTGACACCGTTTTTCGTGATTTACATGGCGCTGAACATTCAGAAAATATAACAACCTCGAAATTTTTCACGAGTGGCGTAGGAAGTAATAAACGACTAAGTGTATGGATAACCTTTCTTTGGTACTGGTGACGGTCTGACGATGCCCAAAGCTTGAGTCTAATTGTATTCCAAGTCGCAGCATTGGTTTACATATTCTCCACGACGGTGCCCGGCTCTATGCTGTATATAGACGTCACAGGTATGCTGCCAAGTAAGAAGAAGGAATTCCCTTGAATCCACTGCATTTTGTTTTTTGAGAAAATTGATTAGGTCTACGCAAAACTGGCATCAACCTGCCAAGGAAAGATAACCCCACAACTCTCCTTATAAATATATATTCGTGTTCGCATGGTTTCTGTACGAATAGAAAGGAAATCCGATAACTTGCGGCAAAGTTCGAGAGTCGGCAACGTTTTCGACACACGACGGTGATGGAGAGCAAGCACAAATGGTTGGTGGCGCCACGGTACATAAAGCCTGCTTTGGGCACATGCACAGCTTTCAAATGAATTTAGCACCTTTTGCGGAATGTATTGAACAACGGTTGTGGTAACTTTGAAAGGCTTTGTAGTTATAAAATGATTATGCCGCATCCCCAAGCTTGGTACTTGCCGTAGGCCCTAAACCTCTAAAAACGTTTGGTTTTTTTGATGATCGTCATCCACATATTTGCGGGTTCGTTATTTTTAATATAAAAAAACGAAAATGCAGGGTCTATAAATATAACTAACCGTTTAAGATATTTTGCCGATTCATGTAGCCAATTATTGAAGCAATTGATAAAAGTAATAGACATCGCGAAGCGCAATTTACGGCGCGCTTCCACTCATCAATCATTATTTCCATCTGATAAGTTTGTATATAAATAACCTTAAACAAACCGTGTAATACAGTATCCTACTTGAAGTGCATATTATACTTTCCTGCAAAGCGAATGATAATCAAAATTAAGATCATTTTTAGGTGCTAGGTGTCAACGAATTCGAATGAGTTAGGAGTCAAGTGTATATGTCTACATTGCATTGTCTGTCGTCAAAATTGTGTAGTTTTAGGGCATACTTTTGGCTTGTTTGCCTACCAAAGTGACAAGCCAATACTCGAGATATATTCAAGTAATATTGGATGTCTATCAGGGCAGAAAATACTATCTGTGTTGCGATGTGAATCGCTCATTTAATATTGATAGGCAGATATAAATTAAATAAGCTAAAAAATCTTTATTAACGGTATAGCACATTAACAATTCTGCTTGCCTTGTGATTTTGGTGAAACTATGAAAAATTGGCTTCATCGAACAGCAGCAATGGCGGAATATCTCATATTGGGAATACTGGAACGGCTTTCTTAAATTCTTCTCGGTTTTTCTAAATAATTGTTGTTATACTAGCAGATTCTTCGTTAAAAGCAAATACCTAGTTGAACATGATATGGAAATTACTGGTCACATTGTCACTTTATTGATCAAATAAAAAATTTGGAAGTGATTTAATTAATTTTGATATCCATAGCTATTCGCGGCCAACTGAGCTTTCTCACTATAACCTCGTGGCAATAAAATGAGAACCTAGACTTACGACGTGAAACTAAAGGCCTTTCTCAAGAGATTTTAGATTCAAAGTTAAAGTAGGTGAATGCCATCATAACTCTAAAAGTTAAAGCTTCAGTTGAACGTTTTCAGTATCGATCAAAGAGTTTGATTTGTCTGCATTATTATTGTTTTATCAATGTTGTTACTAGTTATACAATTCCGTTAACAAACCGTAAATACAGACTGAACACTCAAAGAAACAAGAAGTGGACTAAAACGAATCAAAATTATCTCAAGCGCTCAGGTAAAAAAATCCAGCTTGAAGGTACACGCCCTTTCGTAACGCCGTTGACTATAATAACACTTATCGATCGACTATTCAGTTTAAGCTGAGTTTGCATTTCACAGAAGCTTTCACCAGTATGAGTAACCTTGTGTGCAAATTTCATAAAAATCCGAGCGGTAATTTCAAAGTTGTAGACAGGGAAAGGATTAGCAGAAAGACGGAAATGAGTGATATAGTTTTTCGTGATGTATAGATATAAGACCTAAAAAACATAACATCTCATTTTTTTTAAGAGTAAACATTTTTTATTTGTCGAAGCAGCCTAAACGTCAGGAAATCAGTATATTCAACATTTTAGGTTTCATTTATTGAGCAGTGTAAGATAGATAGATCATAGAGACAACCAGGGCATAAGTTCAAAGGTTACATTTACGTAACAAGTTACGAACATTTACTTCACATCAGCGATCACGATTATGAACACCTGCTTGCAGAATAACATATACACGATATTGTATGAAATAGGGCCACCAAATTATCTGAATAGTCCGTATATACCGCCCCGTCGCTTGTGCTGGCAGCACGAAATAGACAAAATTCGTGCAAAATGCAATTTGTAGAAGTTTGTGCGCTTCGAAACTGACGCTTCATTTTTTAATATTTATGAATGAAATGTTTACAGTGTGCTGAAAACAAAGCCCTACAGGGTGCTATCGAGCCACGTTTTCGTTTCAACCCACCATAAATGTTGTTCAAAAACAAAATTTCAAAAAGTGCTCCAATAGCACCCTGGGCAATTGTCTTCTGCACATACTGTACGAATTTCATTTAGAAACATTGGAAAATGGAGTATCAGTTTCCGAAGCAGCTAAACCCTTGTAGTGGCTTGAAACTATCTGCGTCGGAACCGCCTTAATGTAATTCAATATGTATCTTTGTACGAGATGTAAGTTTGTAGAAAGGGACAACGTTTCCTGAGGGACAGTAACTGCGGATTTGGTCCACTTGAATTCTCTGTAGCAGAGATGTAACTTTGCATATACGTATATTTTGTATTTTTGAATCAAATGGGTGTTAGGTTGTTCAACAAATTGCCAAACACCCTCAGGGCCCTGCCACTCACTAATTTCATACATGAAATTAAGGCTTTATTAAAAAGTAAAGCATATTACTCTTTGGATGAGTACTTGTCAGACTTGACAAACGACCAGTAGGAGTAGTACTGTTTGTAATGGTGTGTGATATCCTATATCTTAATTTTAGCAGTTACCATCCTTATTCAGTTTTATATTCTATGTTTTTTTTTGAATATTATCTACTCGTATTTTATTTATATAATTTAAACAGCGATATTTTAATCTGTGTCTACACGTGGTTTCAATGTTTGTTTTTAGTTAAATATTTGTCTATATAAAAGCTGCTACACACAGTGCCGGCGGCAATGCCGCCGGGTTTATGCCGAGCGGCTATGCCGCCGGCACAAGCCGTCAAGCATCATTCCGGTTGTGACAGTCACATAGAAAGCTAGTGAAGTTCTGCATTTCTGGGATTCCATAATATATCATTTTCATGAAATTTTTCAATTAAGAGCAGCACAGCTTCGTCGTCCCAATTAAACGACATTTTAATTTGTTTAAACACACAAACCGCACAACACTACCGCTCGAATGCCAGGAACGAAGTGACGCCGGCAAGCCGCGTAACCCGCCGGCACACCACGGCGGCTCCTTTGCGCGGCAAGGCCGGCGGCTTTGTATGCCGCCGGGTGTACGGCGGCTTAGCCGGCGGCCCTGCCGCCGGCACTGTGTGTAGCAGCCTTAATATTTCAACGTTCGTTTAATTTTGACTTTCTTACACTAATGTGTGTAATCTACTTATTTACTTTCTGTGTATTTTACTCTATTGTTTCCATTGACGAGTTCTATCTCATCTTATAATGGTCTAACAGAAGTAATAAAGAAATGAAATGAAATGTATTCATTTCATATTTGCTTGGTCTGACCTCTCTTGTCAGTTCTGCTTTCTGAGAATAACATGTTTACTTCACTACTTAATCAAACGGGGTAACATGTGATCCGATTTCGGTACAAGTTTGTACTCGCTCGAGTACTTTTAGCCTACCACTTAATTTACAGACCTGGAATTGCAAAAGGTTGGGAAATCTTGAAACTGGAGATACCACAGACCAAAATATGTGAATTGACCTAAACATACCTTAGTCCAAAAGTTGATAGTTTGCGACATACAGTGTGTCAAAGTTACAATTTTATTTTCTATTTTTCCTTATAGCTTGAGAAGTATTTCAGATTTTGGCATAAAACTCGGTAT